TCGCAAAGTCACACAGCTGGTAAGTGGCCAAGCTAGGATACTAGGGTAACACAAGGTCTGATCCAGGCCTTACCGTGTGTTCTTGGGAAAGTGCATAACTTTCGTTTTCTCGTGAAACCAAAGGTTCTGAGGCCCATTCCCCACCAACCAGGAAGCCAGATTCCAAGGCCCACAGGGGATCAGGGGGCTCAGGCCCGGCCCCTCCTCAGCCAATGGGCAGGAGGTGTGCCTGATGGGCACTCGTGGTAACCAATGAGATGAGGCGGGGCTGGGGTCTCTGATGTCAGCCATCTAATTGCGGCCATTCTGGCTTCCGCAACCCAAAGACATAATATTACCCGGCACGGAGACTTATGGTTGCCAGGGGGCCCCTGACAGCCACAGGAACCCCAAGATTAATGGCCAGGAAATTGCTGTTCACCCGAGCGGGTTGGGCCCCTTAGAGCACAGAATAGGGGCTTTCAGACCTTTGCCCAGGGGTGAGGGTGTGTGTTGGGGGGGTGCCTCTCCCACCTCTAAACTCGGGCTCGCCCCTCTCAGGGGCAGGCTCCCCCCTCTCAGGGGCAGGCTCCCGTGGGCTACAGCTCTGGAGGGGGAAGGGACCGCAGAGGCGGCTGTGGCAGCCCTCTCCCCCCCCCCATGAGGAGGACTATCAGTCAGCCTTGGCGCAGCCCCCCCCCCCCCCAGAATCAGCCTCCCCCGCCCCCCGCCCCCGCCCCCATGCTTGAGCGGCCTCCCTCAGTAATGGGGCTTAATCATAACATGCATTAGCTAGGGCCTGCTGCCTGCAATTACCTCTTCAATCAGCCACCCACCACCACTGCCGCCCCCAGCCTCAGGCCACCTGTGGGGACACACCCCTCCCCAGCCCTCCCCGGCCCCCTCCCCAAATGCAGCACAGGGGCTGCAGGCTGTGCCCACGGACCAAGAAGTGACCCCTCCGGCCGCAGTGGTCTGGGAAGGGGGAGGCCAGTGGACAGAGAGCTTCAGCTCAGGGTCACAGGCAATTATTTTAAAAGCCTGTTGAAAACCGTGCCGGTTCCCAGTGCAGAGGGCTCATCCTGAGGGTTGCGCTGCCCCAGGTTGAGGACACGCTTGCATGCACACCCAAGTGGTCACACACACACACACACACACACACACACACACACAGATGGGCATGTACCAGGGCACATGTGGACCCTGAAGATATGGGTACTGGCTGTCTCCAAGGTGCAGACGCACAGGGAGGCCCCACCTGAGTGACCAGCCCTCGGCCATCGGGGTGCTTCCCTGCACAGCTCCCCTCTGCCCTGTCCCTAGCACAGACCCACTCATGTCCCGTGGCTCCCCATCCCCAGACCTGGGGCACAGGGGCCCTGAGCTGAATCAGAGGACTTCCTATGCCTTCCTGCCTCAGAGCCGGGGTGGCGGCTGGAGAAAAGGGGGAGAAAGACCTGGCGGGGACAGTGGAGGAGGGGACTGCTGTTGTGCGGTGATTCTCTCTAATTGCTGTTTTGCTGAGAGGTAATTAAAATCCCTTTTTATTTCACACGTCAGAGCCCTCACCAGCCTGTGGAGAGGGCGCAGGGGGAGGCCAGGAGGTGGGGGCACTAGAGGGCCGGGCTGCCTGGCACAGGGAGGGGACGGGGAGGTGGCCCTTCTGAGCCCAGGCGGCCAGCCCAGCCCACCTGCCAAGAGGCCCCATGGCGGGAGTCCCCAACCCAGCCCCTCCCCCAGCGGTGAGCACCTGGGGTCTAGTGCTGGCCAGGATCTGCGCGGCCCGCTGCAGCCAAAGAGGCCATGAGAATGAAGTCAGTGGCATCTCCAGAGTGCCTCCTACATGCCGGGCATTTTGCTGAGCTGCCAACTTGCAGAAGTGTTGCAAAAATCACTACTCGGTGGGTACCACTGTCATCCCATGTGTATGAAGCGGAGACTCAGATCAAGAAACAGCAAGACCCCCGGCCTGTAGGTGCTGGAACTGGATTTGAACTGGTCTGACCCCAAACTCAGAAGCACCGTGTCAACCCACCCACTCCAGCCCACACAACTGTCCCTTCCTACAGAGCCCACCTTGTTCCACGGCCCTGCCCTGCCCCTCCTCAGAGCCCTTGCCCAGGCCCATGCACCTGTACCTTGCCTGCCACTCTGGACTCCACGGTCCCCTGCTGACAGGTCCTCTGGGGCAGGAGAGCCGGGGTTTGCCCTGTCCCTCAGGACCTGTGGACATGCTCCAGATGCCTGGCAGGGCCAAGAGGCCGTGGCCAGACCAGAGCCGAGCCCAGTGCCCAGCCAGAGTCAGGGCGGAAAGGAGCAAGGCCCCCGCCTTCCCCTGAGCTGGCCGGGGACATGGGTGGGGCAGGTGAAAGCACCCCTCTGCACTGGACCCCCTTTCTCTCTCCTGTTCTTCCCCTTCCCTTGGACCTGGAGTTGCATCACCCTGTCCTCTTCATCCTCCCCTTCTCCACCCCACCCACACCACCATCACCACCCACCATCATCGCCATCAGCATCGCCATCATCAACGTCATCATCAAGTACTTGCCACTCTGCCTGATGTGTGTGGGGAGTGGGGGTGGGGGACGTTGGGGACTGCAGAGGAAGGACCAAAGGGGTCCCGAGACCCACTAGCAGTTACCTCAGCCTCTCAAGGGCAGGCATGGAGACCCCTGTTGTCCATGTAGCTCAGCGCAATGACATATCTATACACAACTAGATGCAGAAAGGGAGGGAGGGCAGAGGCACAGATTAGGGGGACTTTCTTGGGTCTGCAGAGCGAGGCGGGGTGATCTCTACTGCGTGGAGCAGCCAGGCCTGGGGGTACGGAAGGGTCTTTTCATCTTGTATCCCCAGTGCACAGTGCTGGCATTAGGAGGTACTTAACGTTTAAGGGATGAAAGAATGAATGAAAACATTTTCAGGATTAAAACTGTCCCTTAATAGGACATGACACCCAGTGAGGTAGCCCCCCATCACTAGAGCAATAGGATTAAAACCTCAGGCTCTGGTGTCAGACTAATCTGGATTAAAAGCCAGAGCTACCATTTCCTAGCTGTGCACAGGTCACTGGGCCTCTTTAAGCCTCAGTTTCCTTACCCAAAAGCGGAGCCAAGTATCTGTCTGAGACCCTGAACAAGGAGGTCAGGGGAGAGCCTGGTCCCATGACCAAGCCCCCAGCCTGGAGAGTGGCTCAGGTGGGCAGCTCCTGTCTAAGCACCCCCAGGAGGGAAGGCGAGGGCCAGCCAGAAGCTCTGAACCTCTCTCTCCCCCGTCCTCTTCCAGGCATCCAGTGACCTCCTCCCCACACCTCATTTCTCTCCACCGAGGAGCAGCTGGGCATAGCTGATCCCAACAAGACCAACTTCCCGGCCCGCTGCCCAGTGCGGTGAGACACCCCCTTGGGTCAGGGCCAGGAGACGGGACAGAGGGCAGAGACTTCAGGAGCAAGGCTCCTGAGGTATCTGGGGGTCACTGGGACACCCAGGATGGGGGCTCCATGGAGGCCAGTGGAATTTCACGCCAGACATAGGTCCTCTCCCTGAGGCACACTGAGCCACCTTGCCCCAGCCCTTTTTGTCTCTGAGCCTCATTTTCCTCATCTGGAACATGGGAATATTTACAGGACCGACCTCTCAGGTATGTTGTGATGTTGTGAAAGCCCCCAGCAGTAAGTCTGGCATAGACTAGGGCCATACACACGCGCGCACACACGCGCGCACACACACACTGGCGGCTGACCATTCCCTGGGCGTTGCTGGCGTCTCTGGGGAGCCCTGGAGCCCCCTCCCTCCAGCCCTCTTGGCACATCTGTGGCAGGCAGTACACACGGCTCCCCGCTCCTGTCAATGTTCCCTGCCGGCTAATGGGCCAATTTTTTAGCATTACGGAGATTTGGCCAATTTGGCAGCCCTGAAAGAGGCGCAGAGAGTGAACCGTTGCCTGGGGGCGGGGCGGGGTGTGGAAGCAAGGAGGGCCGGGGAGAGGGCCTTGGGAAGGGGAGGGGGCTGCGGGCAGCCCACTTCTCAGTCGGCTCCCCGCCGGGCCCCTCCAAGTCCTGGGCAAGTGGGGTGGAGCCAGGGGGCGGGCCTCTCGCCCTCCGCTCGCCCTCCTCCCACCCCTGCATAGGCCCCGTGCTATGCACTTTGCATATATTTTCTTTTAATCCTCCAATAACCCTATGCGGCCAGTTCTATTATTTGCTCCAGCCTTCCTGGTGTGGAACTCGGGCTCAGAGCTTGCCCAAGGTCACAAAGCCAGGAACTGATGGAGCTGAATGTGAGCCGAGGCTGAAAGCCAGGCCTTTTAACCATGAGTGAGATCAGTTTTTAGCTAAAGGTGCAGAGTTAGGCCAGGACACCTTTCCCCCACCCCATGCACCCCCCCCCC